TTAGCATTAAATTCAGCTATGTTTAGCTATCCTTTTGCTACTTTAAACTAACGTTTTGCTTCTTTTAGCAAGTCTTTTATTACTTTTAGCTGTTGCTAACTTGTTACTACTTTTATCTGATGTATTGCTTCCTAGAGCTAGCTTTTTGCTAATGTAGCATTGAATTCAGCTATGTTTAGCTATCCTTTTGCTACTTTAAACTAGCTTTTTGCTTCTTTAAGCTAAAGCTTAGGCACTTTTATCTAGACTGTTGCTATTACAGATGATATGTTGCTGTTTTAAACTAGCGTGTTTTGTTTGACTACTTTTAGCTTTTAGGTAGCCTTTTGGTACTTTTAGCTAGCTTATAGACACATTTAGCTTTATGCTACTTTTTCTATATTTTATTTTTTAGCTTATTATTATTATTATTAGCTATTTTTGGCTTTTAGGTAGTGTTCTCCTGACCAGAGACGTCCATCTCTTGATGCTTCAAGAACAAGATGTCTGCAGCTGCAGAAGATCAGCGTCTCTTCCTAAATGGTAATAGTCTCAGCTGATGTGACCCGGTCTCAGCCGGAGTGACCCGGTCTCAGACACGCAGCAGAAACCTGATCATCAGTGGGCGGCCGTGGTGCAGTGGTAGTGGCAGCCGACCTCTGATCGGAAGGTTGGAGGTTCGAATCCCGACTTCCCACACCATGTGCCGTTGTGTCCCTGGGCAAGACACTTAACCCCGAGTTGCTCCCGGTGGGACTGGATGGCGCCTTGCATGGCAGCCTACCGCCACCGGTGTATGAATGTGCGTGTGAATGGGTGGATGGCTGGTACTGTAAAGCGCCTTGGGGCCCCTCATAGGGGGCTGGAAGGCGCTATAGAAGTAAGCTCCATTTACCATTTACCATTTACCATCGGCTGGGTTGTTGACCAAATTCCAAGAGTTGCAGAACCCCAAACTGTTGGATTTAAAAGTTTCCCTCGCGTTTCTGCAGAGCGGAGCTCAGATTTGATGACAAGTCTGCGGTCGAGTTTCTGCTCTTCTGTTTCAGAATCACAGAAAGAACTCGACGAAGCGTCACTTTGGACAGAAGTCAAAACCAACAGAACCAAACGGGACATTATATTTACATCAGTCACAACTTGACAGCGGGGTTTTTCTTCCTAAATTGAAAACATGTTTGCTCGGAACATCGTCCTGTTTTTGATCGTATTAGTGAAGCTGAAGTTTTAAAAGAAGAGAATAGAGATGTGGCTTCATTGCAGCTGTTTGTGCAGAGTCTGGCTACAACCCAGAGCCCAACACATTCCTCCCGTTTCTACCGTACAAGCTGCCGTGACGGCTGCCTCTGTCTGAGTGCAGATAAACACCTCGCAGCAGCTCGATCTGTCGCAGGACAGAGAAGGGAGCTACAGCTTCACTAAACCGTCACCTCGAACCGTTTCTTTACTGAGCACGCCCGAGACTCACCGCTGCTTCGTTTGGGGACCAGGTGGTCGGAAGACTTTCTGTACAGGAAACCAAACGTAGAACAAAAGTTTTAACATCTCCAAGTGAATCTAATAATGACGTCACAGCTTTAAACTCACAAACATTGAGCTCAGAGTTTAATGGAGGCTGAGTGACTCCGCCCAGAACACCTGTTCATATGACCCGGTACGACACAAACACACAGCACGTGAGGTGGAAATAAATAAAGATAAACACTAACCAGGACAGACTGTGACTTTATGTCTACTCTGTCTACTTTTAATATTTTTCTTCTTGATAAATCCAATAGTTAGGGCTGGCTTGGGTTTCCTGAGCTATCCTTTAGTTCTGCTGCTATAGACTTAGACTGCTGGAGGACAAACTGATCACATGTCACTCTGCTGCTGTCTCGACTTGCTCATTTTTCTCCATGTTTGAAACTTAAAAACCACACCTGTAGCATAGAAACAACCCCTGGACTTTAGAACCCACACCTGGACCATAGAAACTTGTACTGAACCATAGAAATCACACTTAGACCATAGAAAATACACCTGGACCATAGAAACAACCTCTGGACCTTAGAACCCACACCTGGACCACAAAAAATACAATTGGACCAAAGAAACCACACCTCGACGACCATCGTAACTATACCTGGACAATTTAAACCACACCTGGACCATATAAACCACACCTGGACCGTTCAAACTACTCCTGGACCATAAACACATCACCTGGGA